TATGTATAAGAAAAACATTCAATTTCTTTTTTGAGACAGTGTCTCACTCTTGTCCTAGCTGGAGTGCTGTGGTATGATCATACATAGCTCACTGCAGCCTCAAACTCCTGGGTTCAAATGATCCTCCCACCTCAGCCTTGCAAGTAGCTGAGATTACAGGCATGTGCCACTATGTCCAGCTAATTTGTTAAGTAACATTTTGTAGAAACAGGGCCTCACTTTGTTACCTAGGTGGGTCCTCAACTCCTGACCTCAAGTGATCCTTTTGCCTCAGCCTCCCAAAGTGCTGGGATTACAGTTGTGATACACTATGCCCAGGGTGTGCTTTATATTTTGATATCAAAAGGTTTAAACAGGACCAGGCATAGTGGCTCATGCCTGTAACCCAATACTTTGGGAGGCTGAGGCAGGAGGATCACTTGAGCCTAGGAGTTTGAGACCATAGGCTGGGCAACATAGTGAGAACACATCTCTACAAAATAAAAATAAATAAATTAATTAACCTGGCATAGTGGTGCACCCTTGTAGTCCCAGCTACTTGGGAGGCTGAGGTGAGAGGATTGCTTGAGCCTAGGAGATTAAGTCTGCAGTGAGCTGTGACCACACCTCTGTACTGTAGCCTAGACAACTGAGTAAGACCTTGTTTCAAAAAAAAAAAAAGTTTAGACAGAACTTAATTATACAAAAAAAATGCTTATCTCTTTTATCAAATTACAATGCAGCTAATTGTTAGTTACTGTATTAATAGACATTAGAGCATAGACGATAATGCAGGTTTTGAGCACTTTCCTTGGATTCAAATCCTGTCTCTTCCTCCTATTAATTGTGTTCTTTACTCTTGAGCAAGTTACTTAACCTTTTTATGCCTCACTTAATTTTCTTATTGTAGAAGATTAAATAATATCTACTTTTAGATTGTGATGATTAAATAAGTTCACATAGGTAAAGTGCTGAGAGTAATGCCTAGTGCATGGTAGCGTTTAATAAATGTCTTATTATTCTGTAAATATTTTATTTACCATTTACGTTATCATTATCTACTTAAATACTTGTATTCTGATAAAATGATCTATTGAACATACCTTTTATTTGTTTTACTTTGAGATGGAGTCTCGCTCTGTTACCCAGGTTGGAGTACAGTGGTACAGTCTCAGCTCACTGCAACCTCTGCCTCCCGGGTTCAAGTGATTCTCTTGCCTCAGCTTCTCAAGTAGCTGGGATTATATCCGCATACCACCAAATCCAGCTAATTTTTGTATTTTTAGTAGACACAGGGTTTCAGTATGTTACCCAGGCTGGTCTCGAATGCCTGACCTCAGGTGATCCAACCGCCTTGGCTTCCCAAAGTATTGGGAATAACACCATGCCTGGCCCTTTTTTTTTTTGAGATAGGAATAGGATCTCACTTTGTCGCCTGGTCTGGAGTACAGTGGGCAATCTTGGCTCACTGCAGCCTCACTACCTGGGCTCATGGCATCCTGGCATCCTCCCACTATAGCTCCCCAAGCAACTGGAACTGCAGGTACACCCTACCACTCCTGGCTAATTTTTTTGTATTTTTTGCCATGTTGTCCAGGCTGCTCTCCAGACCCCAAGTGATCACCTGCCTCATCCTCCCAAAGTGCTGAGATTATAGGCATGAGTCATCGTGCCTAGTCTCAGCATGTCTTTTAAATGAGTTCAAGTGACTTCAGATAATACCAACACAAAAAATTTCTCTATAAAGATACCCCTTTTAAACAATTTTAATATAATCTATACATAGAAGTTAATGTTAACAGGTAGTTCTAAGGAGATGCAAAGAAAAGCTATAAAATTATTCAAAATGTCATTTTGTTGTAAGAAAGATATTGATTTAAAGTAAAATAGTTTTTTGATCTTATTTGAAATTTGGATATGGCAGCCTTTGAGTTTTTGTTTTATTTGTTACAAAAAGACATAGTACAAAATGGATCTACAAATTATAGCCATGGCTATAGATTTCATTTTTGGGGGGGCTGAAATATTTATTACAGTAAGAAATTTTAGTTTAAAATTTAACTTTAGATGTTTTGTAGCATTCTTACTTATTCTGCCTCTAAATCCTTCTCTTTCTGTTCTTTCACTTTCTTCTGGCTGACAAAATATTTTAATGATATACGTGTTGGAAAAGTTCAGGATGTTGTATATTACATAGTAAGTACAGTAAAATTTAGGATGATGTTTTTTCAGTTCTGGATGTATATTTCAGTCTTTTATTTTCTGAAAGGACTTACTACGAAAAATACAAATTCATTTTATGGTTTACTGAAGTTATAAGTAAAGCGTGCAAGTTTGTTGAAATAAAGCTTTTTTCCCACTTTTTAAAGATTGTTTCCCTCTATTAGAGTGAATGTTTGCTTCTCTGCTATAATATTAGTTCATGGGAAAATGTCAATTTCAGACTCTTTTTATGATACAGCAGCTTGTTTTGTAACACTGTGTCAATTGAGAGAATAATCACTAAAGTATTTTGGCTAGAATGAAACAACAGTTGGATTTTACTCTTTGAAATATTGCATATATACTTGAGAATATGCTAAAGTAACTTAATAAGTAATCATTGTACCTGTTGTGAAGTATATACACAAGAGGAGGGAGGGCCAAGGCCTATCCCTGACTGATTTAGTTTGTAAAAATACAGTGAACCACTTTTAGATTCAGGCAGTTCATTATTTAATTTAGACAGAAAAAGGAAGCTAACTAAAGATGCCAGCTTCCTGTGGGCCTTGACTCATACACCAGAAAGAATGACACAGAAACAATAGGTGGATGACTCCGATGTGACTTGTGGGATGCTTAATTGCTGAGAAGTCAATTCAAGACAGTATGGCTCAGTAGTATTCTGCAGTCTGTTTTAGGGGAGAAGGACAGAAAGCCTTATACCTCTTCAGAACCTGAGAGGTGATGAGAAACTGTCTCATAACAGCCTAATGGAGGAGTTAAGGAGGCAAGTAGGAGATGGTCTTGTAAGTTTCTTACAAGCCTTCTGTCTTCTTGTGTTCTGGGAGGATCACGGGATGTTTTGCCAAGACAGAGATCAACTGAGGTTCAAACCTTTGCTAAGCTTGTGTGTTCTATGTGGATACATGTGAAGTTGTCCTGGGGGTTATGATGAAGCTGTTTTAATGGGACAGGCTACTAAACATACTGAATTAAACTAACAGAAATGGAATTGACTTTTGCATAAAAACATTATTTTAACAGGATTGCATCTCTGGTTTCTGATGCCTCTTTTATAAATAGCATTTAATTAGTCAACATGATATGCTTGTATCTTGAGTTAAAAAAAAAAGTGTTCCAAAGTATGCTAATGATAACTAGTCATATATACTTTTATCTAATTTTAATTTAAAGAGCCATGTAGACTCAGCTCGATTGCTCTGAGACCTCCTGTAAAAAATTGAAGATATCATTGGAAGATGTTCTGCCTCAAACTGGGAGGCAGAAGCTAACTACTTTCTTAATGTGAGGGTCAGATTTTTAAATACCAGTACACTTTAGTAAAGCAACTGAGAAACCATGTGGTTTGTATGTTCCTGGCTTTAAATGTGCAAAAGACATATGGGAATAACTGGCAGAACACAGAAGCTTGTCTTCTTTGTATATCTTTGTATATTGATTTATCTGACATACTCAGTGACGGTCCATAAATCATTGTTTTAAACTGAGTTTGCAACCTATTAGTGGGGATAAAAATAATAAAAATAGAGCATATAATGCTACAATGCAGGCGTTCGATGAGGTGTTAATATTGTTTTAAGAAAGTATCATTTTAGGGATGTGTCTGTGTGTGTAAGCTGTATGTGTTACTGTGCACTGTGGCTAAAAAGGCATGAAACAAGCCAGGCGCAGTGGCTCATGCCTGTAATCTCATTACTTTGGGAGGCCGAGGCAGGTGGATCATAAGGTCAGGAGATAGAGACCATCCTGGCCAATATGGTGAAACCCTGTCTCTACTAAAAATGTAAAAATTAGCTGGGTATAGTGGCGGGCACCTGTAATTCCAGCTACTCAAGAGGCTGAGGCAGGAGAATTGCTTGAACCATGGAGGCAGAGGTTGCAGGGAGCTGAGATAGTGCCATTGCACTCCAGCCTGGTGACAGAGCAAGATGCTGTCAAAAAACAAAAAAAAGTATGAAACATTGCTACAAATATTCTTTGACTATTTCAGATCTCTCAGAAAATGTGTGCTTAATTGTAAAACTAAAATATATTACTTCGTAGTTCTAATTTATTAATGAAATCTATAATACAGTATGAATAAATTTCTTGCCTTTTTGCAGTTAGCTTCTGGAATTTATAATTTTGCCTGCTCTCTGTGGAATCACCATACAGACACTTTCCTGCAACAAGTTTCTTCTGGCAGTGAAGCTGCAATTCTAAGTTCACTAGAACGAACTCTGCTATCGTTGAAAGGTACTATTAAGCTTGATATGTTCATTTTTGAAATGGAATACCTCAGAACAGTCACCAAATAGTTCTTTTAGTTGGGTTTTCTGTTCCCAATTTCACTGGGAAAATAAGGGATTAATTTTTCCCTGAAAGATAAAGGTTTATTTGTAGTTTTGTGATAGTAGCTCTTCCTCTTCCCCTTCTAATTTATGAAAGCACATATAGTAAGTTGAAGTAGGTAGTTTTATGTTATATTCACATTACTGTGGCCTCATGGTGCTGAATGTATTTTTTTCAAATGCTTCTAGTTTTTGTTTCTACTTTCTCATTCTGGACCCTACACTTATCATTGTCATGCTAACTTTCCTAAAATTTTTTCTCTAGGCTGGAATGAGCACTGTCTTTCACCTCTCCTTTCACTGGAAAGGCAAGGGTCCATCTTTCATGTTAGTACCTCAGGGTCACTTGGATTTCAGAAGGCGCTTGATGGCATGTCGTCTTGGCCTGCGTCTTGGTATATGTTGCTTGTAGGCATTCCCTTAGCATAAATCTTCATCACACTTTCCTTGGGCTGTTTATCTTGATGAGTGTATCTCCAGGTTCCTTTCCTTCTAAAACATACCTGTTTGTCTTATTCTCTTACTCTTCTAGTCCCTCTTCTTTCTGTTCTTGTTGGTAAGGCTCTTTTAGTTTTTTTTTTTTTTTGGACAGGGTCCAGGTTGAAGTGCAGTGGCACAATGATAGCTCACTGCAGCCTTGAACTCCTGGGCTCAAGTGATCCTCCCACTGTAGCCTCCTGAGTAACTGAGACTATAGGTACATGCCACTTCACCGCACTGATTTTTACATTTTTCTGATCTTGAACTCCTAGCTTCAAGCGATCCTCCTGCCTTGACCTCCCAAAGTGGTGGGATTACAGGGATGAACACTGTCCCTGGCCTCGGTTGTTTTTCTTTGTTTGATTCCAGTTTGCATCAGTTTCTCTCTTACCCTAACTCACCTTGCATTCTTTTTAGTTTTACTTATAAGCTCTTTTATTATATTCAGTCTGGTACCTTGGAATTTCATCATACGGTCTTGGCATTTCCTTATTGTGTCACTTACTTTAACCAGACAGTGATGCATAAATCCCAGGCTGTCAGCACATTTTGTGAAACTGTGAAGAAATGGGTGAATGATTTTAAAGGACTGTTGATAAATAGAATCCATTGTAGAGGTGTAGCAGGAGCAGCTGCAGGAACACCAAATGGAGAAGGAAGAAGTTTATTCTGCGGGGAGCCTGAGTGATAATTTGTCCAAAGCTCAATTCATCTAACAAAGGAAGGTTCTGCCTTTATATAGGCTTATACTTTAGATATTACACGTTGAAGAATCTTAGGTTTATAGCTTTAGAAATAACATATGAAAAGGGTCTCGGTTTACAGCTTCAGGAATCACATATGAAAGGGTTCCAGTTTACACTTTTAGGACTCACATGTGAAAAGGTTTCTGTTGACGGTTTCAGGAATCACATATGAAAGGGTTCTGGTTTACAGTTTTAGGACTCACATTTGAAAAGGTTTCTGGTTTAAGTAAAAATAGTGCCTTCTGGAGAGTCCCCAAGACCAAGCCTGCCACCTACAGGAAGGTGAAACAGGAGGCGCCAGTCAGTCAGCCTTTTCTTCTATTGAAATGCAGTGTGTTAGTCAAAGGGGAAGTTGATCTGAGTTGCCTGGGTCTCCCTCTTCAGAGGTAGTTATAAAAGTAAGTGGAGATGTTTTTGTCAACATCCTTGAGGAAGAAATTACAGGCCTTGGAGAGAAATGTTTACGTAGAATTAGAGAAGCTGATGTAAGGCTGTGTATAGAAAGCTGTGTGTATAGTAGTATATTTAATGATTAGGAAATTTTCAAGATTTCTTTTGATTATAAAGTTTTTTTACCTTTTCGATTTCAAAGCCTGACTCCTGTCATACAAAAGATGTAGCTTAAAGGTCTTAGATTCACATTAACTTTTTACAGGCATCCTGCTCTGGAAAATTTTGTTTGCTAACTATACATTTCTGTCCTGAAATGAAGAAATACTTCAGACTAGAATTTTTTTCTCCCTTGTAATCGCTATCTGAATTTACACTTAGTTGTATTTAGTATCTTTTAGACATGGATGCATTCGTTATTTCATTTGGGAAATCTATAGGTGCTTGGTATTGGGGAGACAGAGTTAATGATCACACACATATATTTAAAGTGACATCTGTGACAGAGGCCTTATGATATTAGGATAACCGATAATGTGATCAGAAAAAATTTCCCTGAGAAAGTGGTCTTTGAGCTGTAATCTTAAAGGGTAAATGGAAGTTAACTAGGTGATGAAGGGAGAAGGAAAGGATCCTCTCAGGTATTATGGCTCAAGGTCTTGTGGTGGGAAAGCATATCCAGAATAAGGGATTCAATTTGAATTCTGTTTTTTCCTTATGTAAATGAGGAAAAGTTACTGCATCATTATAATGCAGCAACTTCTGAGTTGCATGTAATTGATGGTTTCAAACTGAAGGTCTTGTAAACAGCTACATTCTTAACCTAATTTTAAAACATTGCTTTACACTTACAAACTGAGGGTCTAGTAGACAGCTACATTCTAAACCTAAATTTAATCCATTGCCTTTCGACCTCATAAACACTATTTAAAGTATAATTCTTTAGTACTATAGATAGCAGTGCTTATTTAATGAATTTTTAATTTTACCTCTTACGCTGTCATCATCCTTATTGTTGCTAAATAATTGCTAAATTTTACATATATAATTTTTTATAATATTTTACAATATTGCTATATTTTACATACATATCCATCAATAACCTGTGAAGCAGGATTTGTTAACCACATTTTTGAGAAAAGTGAGATCTAGAAGTGTTGCCCAAAGTAATAATATAGCTGTAGACAATGGAGCAAGGATTTGAATCTAGCTCTGCTTTCAAATCTGCTGTCCTGCTTATCTCTCTGTCTACACTAGTTTGTCAGTGTTACTCATAAAATGTCACAGTTGAGCAGTGTAGTTTATTCCAAATTTGGAAATAGAGTTTAATTTTTATATCCTTTTTAGGAGATAACTGTATTTCCATTAATATAGTCTAAAACTGAATGAATTTTTTTGTTACTGTTGAGTCATAGCTTAAAGTTCTTGAAATAGAGATAACTTTCTCAATTTCAGTTATTGCAGGTAAGAAGTACTAACAATTATATAAATTACACTAAATTTTGGAATCCAGTTTTAGAAACATGAGAGTAGTTACAATAAGTTAAAAGAACACTGCTTTTGTGAGTCAGAAGAACTAGACGTTAGTTCCATCCTTCCCACTAATTTCCCAACCAAATGACCAGGAGTTAACTTTCTAACCCAGATTAACCTCCTAGCTTGATTAGGTTTTCTAATTCCGAATCTTTATTGTGATTGTGATTTTAGTTGGATGAAATAAGATCTAAGTAAAGTTTGCTTTTGCTTTTCAGTGCTGCGTAAGTTAACTGTTAATGGATTTGTGGAACCTCATAAAAATATGGAGGTGATGGTAAGTGATCGAAGTAATTAACCGTAACTTTGAGAAAGGTATTTTCCTAAATGTTTAAAAGAGTGCTCTTTTTATTTGGCATTCAATTAGAAGAACTTTTCTTAAGTGATCATCTAGTTTTTTACCATTCTGACTTTTAGACTTCTGGTTTGTTTTCACTACATCAAAGTGGCTTTTGTGTGAAGGAGAAGAAATAGGTCCAGGATATTTCTCAAGATGCCATGGTACATTGAGAGTTAATTTGAATTTAAAATAAACTCTTGTGAATTTGAATGCTATTATAACATTACCAAGCACACTATAGATATTATTTATATAGTTAATATTTTTCTTTGTTTTTGTGTATTTAAAATAAATTTGCTTTTTTTGGTCTAATCATAACATTAATAGATGCTCTTTGCAATCAATTAAAAAAATAAATATATGAGAGAAAAACCTTGTCAATAAATTGATCATAAGTTGTGATATATATTCATTGTAGATAGCCATCTGCTTTTTTCTATGAAAACATGTAGTTACTTTTTTTTTTTTCTGAGACAGAGTTTTGCTCTGTCACCCAGGCTAGAGTGAAGTCACCCAGGCTGGCGCGATCTTGTCTTACTGCACCTTTGCCTTCTGGGTTCATGCATTCTCCTGCCTCCGGCTCCCAAGTACCTGGGATTACAGGCACATGCCACCATGCCCAGCTAATTTTTGTATTTTTAGTTTCACCATTTTGGCCAGCTGATCTCGAACTCCTGGCCTCAAGTGATCCGCCTCTTTGGCCTCCCAAAGTGCTGGGATTTCAGGTGTGACTGTGCTCAGCCTCGTTGCATTTGCTTTCTATAAATGAAATGACATTTTAATATACTTACTTAGATCTGTGTTAGTTTTCACATTAAATTTAGCTTAGGTAAAACATTGCTTTTTTGTAAGTTGCTTTGAGTGTTGCTCAGGAGTTGAGGAAAAAACAAATCTAATTGGATCTTTGGGTCTCTCCTATTAGATCTGACCAGAACCATTAAAAAAATAGTATTTTTTGTATATTGATGAGATTTGATTGAAATTATTGTTAGAAGAGTTTAAAACCCATTAATATACATCATAATAATGTGATGGTTATTTCATCTTTTGAAAATTTACATTTTTTTTTTTAAGAATTTCAGAAAAAGAAACTAAAAAATCATTTATAATCTTACCCTTTAGAGATAATGGTAAAGTTTGTAAATATTCTTGAATACATTTTATTCATATTCTTTTGGATAGACCTTCTCACTCAGTTTGATATTAATGGGATCATATTTACATCTTGTTTCCTTACTAGCATTTTAAAAAACAAACTCAGCATATTATAGATATTTTCCCTTGTCAGTTATATTGTTACATGTCACTTTAAAAATGATTGTATAGTATATTCATATGATTAATGTCAATAGATTAATTTTTTTAAAAAAGATATTAATGTAGGATTCTTATATTTAGTCATCTGTTGATGGGCATATAGGTTCTCAGTTTTTCATTTTTGATAAAAGATATGGAGTGAACATTTGGGTCACTTATGTGGTTTTCTAATCTCTTTAGGATAAATTCCTAGAATTGAAAATGTTAGGTTAAGCTTATGCACGTTCACAGTATTGATACATATTATCAAATTACTGAAAGGTATATCAAGCATCAATTTAAATCCAGATACATTTTAATTGCCATACTGTCAAAAAAGGCTTTCGAGAAACCAACTTGACCATTCTCTTTCAATTCCCTAACTAGAATGTGTAAATTCCGTGAAGGGAGGGACTTTGTTTTGTTTACTGTGACTCGGAGCTTGGAACAGTCATAGTAAATAAATAGTAAATTCTCAATAGTTATTTGTTTAATGAATACATCCTTTATTTTAGAAGCAATATATCAAAAGTGTCAGGAATTATGTACAATATTACCCTTATTATATTAACTAGAATATTATCTTTATCTTTTTTTTTTTTTTTTGAGATGGAGTTTCACTCTTCTTGCCTATGCTGTAGTGCAATGGCACGGTCTCGGCTCACCCCAACCTCCGCCTCCTACTTTCAAGCGATTCTTCTGCCTTAGCCTCCCGAGTAGCTAGGATTATAGGCACACACTACCACACCTGGCTAATTTTGTATTTTTAGTGGTGATGGGGTTTCTTCATGTTGATCAGGCTGATCTCAAACTCCCGACTTCTGGTGATCTGCCTGCCTTGGCCTCCCATAGTGCTGGGATTACAGGCATGAGCCACCTCACCCATCTCCTTATCTTTTAAATGAAAACGAATTGGTTTGAATTATATCTCTATAAGGTGAAATAATAGTTTACACTGGATATCATCCATACTGTGTGAGCTTGGTTTCCCTTGAGAGTCTCCTGTCTGCGTAAATCATATGTCAACCTTTACTCAGTTATAAATGCCTTAGTTTAGCAATCTTGACTCTAATTCAGTTAATTGGAGAATAAAATTTTAACAAATTAAGGACAATGTTTCAAATAATATAAAAATCTTTTTTTTTTTTCTTTTTTTTTTTTGAGACAGTCTTACTTTGTCACCCAAGCTGGAGTGCAATGGCATGATCTCGGCTCACGGCAACCTCTGCCTCTCAAGGTGAAGCAATTATTCGGCCTCAGCCTCCGGAGTAGCTGGGATTACAGGCACTGCCATCACACCCAGCAAATTTTTTGTATTTTTAGTAGAGACGGGGTTTCACCATGTTGGCCAGGCTGGTCTCGAACTCCTGACCTCATGTGATCCACCTGCCTTGGCCTCCCAAATTGCTGGGATTACAGGCATGAGCCACCGTCCTCATCTAAAAATGTTAAAAATAACCTAAAGCTTAAAAGATGCTAAAGAAACAATATATGACAGTGGTGAGATTTTGGGCTCTGGAAGCAGGCACATTGATTTAATGGCCTTTAAAATTAATGGCCTTTGTAATTTTCTACTTTCTTTGGAGAATAGGACTATTGGACCCTTTTATAAATTTAAGATACATGTGGGATCTGAGTGATCTTATTCTTTTCTAATGAAACCTTTTGCCGTTTCATTGTTCTCTTGTTACTTTTCATTATCAATTATTGTCAACTATGCTTTAAAAAGACAGAAATAGTATGAAAATGGAAGATGATGCAGTAGTGAAGTTATCATCCTGAAGTTTTCATCCCTTTTTAAATTGTATTGCCTATTTTATTGCATCAAGTTTCCAGAAGGCATAAAGGAAGACTGGAAACACTCATTTTACTCTGCTTTTAGCTTTTATTTAATACAGTTGAGAATTCAGAATTTTACATTTTCTGCCTAAAATGACAGAGAGAAGGAAGAAAATTGACAGAGAAAGAGGTTTACTAATTTTTTGATGAGTCAGTGGATGGATATTCAGAGTCTGAGAGCAGTACTCTTGACTCTATCTGATAACACTGAAATTGATTGTCTAAGTAAAATCTCAGACACTAAGTCCTAATGGTATCCTAGTTGAATTTTCTCAAACTCAAGAATTGATGAATGAATAACGTATTTCTGAGGACAGAGAGGAAATGTGCATTCTTGAGTTATTTTCCAGGAAAGCCACCATCATCCAGTATTTCATGACTACCTCATTTGCTAATAGAGTATGTGACATCTTTTATGATATTTATATACCAACATTTATTGATACAAAGATGTCTTCTATGTTTAAATTCTTATTAAAATTTTAGGTTTTTTTTTTTATCTGTTTCTTTATATTTACTCCTATTAATTACTCAAAATGTATCTTAGAATATGTTTTCAAAAATAAGGGTCCATTAGACCTAGCTGGTATGTGTTGATGCCTATCTAATACTAGTATCTGAGGACTAATGTGTCATATACTAAAGTTAAGAACTGTGGTTATTGCCAAACACTGTTCCAGGATTCTGGGATAAAGCAGTAAACAGTGCAAAGTTCTGGCTCTCAAGGAGCTTACATTCTAATGAGAAGAGTCACATAATAAATGGACAAATACAATATGTCAATGGATTTAAGGCCTATGAAGAAAAATTAAAGCAGAGTAAGGAGCATAGAGAGTGTTTAGTGAAACAGGATTCTTAAAAGGTGAGTTTTTATTTATTGCAAAATGATTCATGTAACTAAATGAGATATTGAATATATGAAACACTATAGTTATTTTCTTTTGGGAGACTTGTTTATAATAGTGAATTTTTTTTTTTCCTAATTTTAACTTATTTTTCTTCAGCTGATTTTTTTAAGTGATGTGATAGATTTGTTTTGGTATCCATGAGGAAGGTACAAGGTAAATGTTTGTAACAATGAATTGATACACTTAAAAATAAAATAATATTCTTTTCTAGGGTTTTTTACATGGAATATTTGTACGTCTAAAACAGTTTCTGGAATGCAGTAAGTACTTTCATTACAGTCCTTTTTACTGTAGAATTTTTATTCGTTAATAGATTATTCATTAATAACTAGGATTAACGAAGGATTAATAGATGCTTATTCATTATTAGCTTCTGCTGCGCACTTGTAAATCTGGAGAAAATGTCTTGTCCAGTTGCCCCGAGTGAGCACTTGATAGCTGCAGAGATCCTATATATAGCTAAAATGAGTATTTTCTGTCAACTTTCTGAAGTTAGAAGCTTAGCCTTTGTCTCATATACAGGAGTCCCTCCTTGGACTACGATCCAAGACCTACAGTTGATGCCTGAAACCACAGATAGTACTAGACCCTATGTGTACTATACTTTTTCGAGTTAATATCCGAAATGGCTACTAAGTGATCAACAGGCGGGTAGTATACATAGCCTGGATATACTGGACAAAGGGAGGATTCTCGTCTGGGTCAGAACAGAGTGGACCAGCTTGAGATTTATCACCATACTCAGAATGGTGCACAATATAAAACTTAAGAATTGTTTATTTCTGGAATTTTCTCTTTAATATTTTTGGATTGCAGTTGGCTGCAGGCACCTGAAACTAGTTATTTTCCTGTGGAAATCAAAACTAAGAGGGGACTACTGTATTGGTATTGAGTGGAAGGGAGTTTGCCATGTTGCCAGGCTGGTCTCAAACTCCTGGGCTAAAGTGATCTGCCCACCTTCATCTCCCAAAATGTTGGAATTACAGGTGTGAGCCATGTTGCCTGGCCAAAACAGATTTTTAAAAAAAAGATTTCCCTGAGGCCAGGGGTGGTGACTCATGCCTGTAATCCCAGCACTTTGGGAGGCTAAGGTTGAGTGGATCACTTGAGCTTAGGAACTGGAGATCAGCCTGGGCAACATGATGAAACCCTCTCAATACAAAAAATATTAAAAAGTTAGCCAGGCATGGTGGCGTATGCATGTAGTCCCAGCTACTTGGGAAGAATTGATTGAGCGTGGGAGGTCGAGGCTGCAGTGAGCAGTGATCTCACCACTGCACTTCAGTCTGGGTGACAACAAACCCTATCTCAAAAAAAAAAAAAAAAATCTATTTTGTGTTCATTCCTCTTTCTATGTTTTACTGTGGCTACCCCTTTCCAGCCAGACATTCACAACAGTCAGATGTTTAACAAATATTATCTATAGACTGTATGCCAGATCCTGTTTAGACTTCTTGTAGCCTCTTGCTTTTAGTGTTTGTTGCATATCACTGTGATATAAATTTCCTTAAATGACAGTTTCATTTTGTAAATCCCTTGTTAATTAACCTCTACTGACTTATCTTTACCACCCTTGGTAATCCACTACCCCACATGAGAGACTGCAGCAGTTGTATTTGTGTTGTATTTTACTGGTGGTCTGTTTGTTATCATCTTCTTCCATGTGATTGTAAGCGCCTTTATTTGGACATACACATACAAAGAGTGTGTGTGTGTGTGTGTGTGTGTGTGTGTGTGTGTGCGTGTGTGTGTGTGTGTGTGTTTGGGGACTTGCTATCCTGAGAAGATATCTTAGTCTACTCACTTTTAAGGAGTTGTTGATTGTTTTATGTTAGTCAGTTTCAATTTAGTGAAACATTGTTGAGCCCGTTGCCAGAACTGTTCTGGGTCCTGTGAATGCAAAGATGAATGGGAATGTTCATACTATGTAGTTAAGTTTTCTGAAAATAGTCATTTTTCTCTGGCCATCCCTGTGGATTTAGCAGAAGGAAGAATATAAGCCCTTCCAGGAGAGAATAAGAAAAATGAACAAACAGAATATGAGTAATATTATTAGAGAGCAGAGTAGCTGAAGAGCTGGTGGACATTGTTCTGAATGTACAAAAAAAAAACCACAACAGGGAAGTTATCAGAATAAATTTGTCAGAAGATATAGGAAAAATGATAATGAGTATGTTACTCTTTGAGCGCTTTATTTTACACATGTATGTTGCTTGAAAAATACTTCAACTATAACATTTAGTTTTTAAATGTTATCCATGTTTCATTGCCAAAATGACTATCCTTTTACTGTAAAAGTGTGTTCAGTTCATATACTAGGGTTAATTTTGTATAATATGACACAGAGGGCTACTGTGTCTGTTATTCAGTGTAAATCTTGGTATTGCTTTTTAAATAATTCATAATGCAAATTAACCAAAAATAAAACCAGCAATATTATTTTTATAAAAGTTTTGGTGTTGTCTTGGTTGTAAACTTATGGAATATTATTAACTTCTACTAAAATTTTATAATGTATTTTAACAGGTAGAAATATAGGTACAGATAATGTGTGTAGAGATAGACTGGAAAAGACCATCATTCTTTTTACTAAAGTGGTAAGTTTTTTAAAAACTTGTTTTCTCAAATATAATACACATATTCAGATTTAGAAAGGAAATTGATATTTTTATAACCATACATTTTCACTTTAGTGTAAGGAAACCTATGTTCTGATTCGTAATAGGAAAGCTGAAAAATTGCTTTTGTATGTACTTTAGAATGCATATAATTAAATTTATATACCATGTTTCATAATGTATAAGTCACCATGATGTATGAAAAATCAATTCTAATAGATATTAAAATATTTGATTTCTCTAAAGCTTATTATTCCTTGACCCACTGGAGAAAGTGGAGATAAAGAAGATAGCAGTGCAGTTCAGCTAGAAGTAGATCGAATGTAGCAGACAGTATAATATCAGGAAGTTAGTATATTCCGAATGACTATAACACTGTCTTCATACTAAACATCTGTTGAGTGGAATTATAGGGGGTGTTCTGTGGTATGCAGTGTGTATAATTATATTTTATAAAACATTAATTTTTATGAAATTTGGGGGTTGTAGGATTGGGAGAAGTGCAAAGAATTGGGTTACAGCAGTTAGAAAGACCTAGCTGGGGACTGCTTGCACTAAAATAGGTACTTGCAGACAGGTGGGGATATCTAAATCTGTAATCTGTTTTCCCTTTTTGGTTAAAGCTTCCATAATAGGGTAGGGGTTGCTTATTCCCTGGGAGGGGAGTAAAGGAGCAGAAATGAGCTTGTTTTTGTCTTTGTGTTTTAGGTAGTAATTCCCTTTACTTTCTGTTGTCTTCATTTCTTTTGTTCCATGTAACCTCAACAACAAAAGCCCACCTAATCTTCCAAGATACAGTATAAAATTGACTCAGATCCGATGTTAAAAAAACACAAAGCAAACAGGATGATGTGCTTAGTCAAAGGGGACTATATAGTATATATCACTGACACTTGCCTGCAGCTCTGCTCCCTCACATCCCCTACTCAGTATATCAATGACATAAGTAAAATTTAGAAAGTATTATTTAGATGATCTGTTTTAGAAAACACATTTATTTAGCTGTGAGATTTTTCAGTTCTTTCTATTGTTTCTTAAGGTGATGACATGGATAGTTGGTATCTGTAATTTATTTTACTTTACATAACAAGTTGGAAGCAATTTCATTTATGAAATTTATATTTATGATCTCTGATTTTATTAAAACTTTTTAAATTGGAACATTTCAAAATAGAATAAAGTTACTCTAAGTAGAATTGAGTAACTTTGAGTCTTCATGAGATCATCACTCAGCAACAGTTATCAACCTGTGGCCATGGTCAGTGTTACTTTGTGTGCCTCTTTCCCCTCCCATCCTTGCTGGTTATTTTAAAGCAAATCCCAGATATTATCTAGCATTATTTGTAAATATTTGAGTTTCTTTAAGTGGTAGGGTTGTTTTGTTTTGTGTATGTTTGTTTTCTGAGATGGGGTCTCACCCTGTCACTCAGGCTGGAGTGCAGTAGTGTGATCTTGACTCACTGCAACCTCTGTCTTGCAGACTCAAGCGATCCTTCCACCTCAGCCTCCCGAGTAGCTGAGACTAGAGGTGCATGTCACCATGCCCAGCTAACTTTTTGTATTTTTGGTAGAGACAGGGTTTTGCCTTGTTACCCAGGCTGGTCCTGAACTTCTGGGCTCCAGTGATCCACCCACCCTCGCCTCCCAAAGTGCTGAGATTACAGTCATGTGCCACCACGCTTGGCCTGTTTTGTTTTGTTTTGTTTTTTTAAATAAAATCTTAACACAATTATTGTATTTTAAAAAATATTAATAACTTCTTAACATCATTTAAATATCTAGTCAGATTTTAGATTTCTCTGAGTGTCTCATGCATTTTTTATAGTTTGTTTGAATCAGGATTCAAGTCGTGTCAGCTCCCTTTCTATCTGTTTGATTTCCTTGCTGTTAATTTTTGAGGTAACAGGTAATTTTCTGTACTTTTTCATGTTTCGAATTTGATTGCTTGTATCTCCACATGCTTTTTTTTTACATGTTCTTTAGTCTCCACACTTCTCCTACTCCTCCCCCCATATTTCTTATAAGCTGGTAGTTAGATGTAGAGGCTTAGTCACTTTCAGGCTTTTTTGTAGGGATAGAGCAGGGATGGCAAGAATACATTATAAGTGTTGCTCTATTGCATGACATGCACACATGCAGTGTGGCACACAGTGTCTGATTGTCTTTTCTGTGGCTAACTTTAATGAGTGATCTATCAGTTTTCCTTAGCATCTTTTCTCTTAACAGCTCTTGATCATCATTTGCCTACACCCATTTGATTAGGAGTTACGAAATGATGGCATTCTAATTCTGTTATTCCTTTTGCATTTATTAGCTGAAATTCTTCTATAAAGAAGACATCTCCCTCATCAACTACTTGATACATTAAAATACAATTAATATGGGAAAGGCAGGATAATATTTAGATTATTTCCATTAGTCTGTTATGTTTTAAGGTCTGTCTGTTGTACATTTAAGCATTTTGTATCATATTTACCCATTGTTATAAAATTGTGTTTGTTTGGGTTTGTTTTGGTTTCTGTACTGAAAATGATAGAAAGTTCTTATTAAGAGGTATAATCTAATATAATCCACATTATGTGATGTACCCCAAGAAGGGTTATGATACATGTAAAACTGAGTGAACATGGACTCCACATTAAGGTTCAAACTTGCTAAATGATTATTAGTAAAGTTATAATTGGGGTGATTATGTTCCAATATGAATTTGGGGAAAATACATGTTGATTTTTTTTTTTTTAACAGCTTTTGGACTTCTTAGATCAGCATCCCTTTTCATTTACTCCTCTAATTCAGAGATCACTGGAATTTTCTGTAAGCTATGTTTTTACAGAAGTTGGTGAAGGCGTTACATTTGAACGATTCATCGTCCAGTGTATGAATCTTATTAAGATGATTGTCAAAAATTATGCTTATAAGCCATCCAAAAATTTTGAAGGTAATTGCTTTACTGGCAGTTTTAAATATTACTTTAACCTTAAGTGTGATATAATTGCTATATTTATAAATTTTTAGAAAATTTTATTTGTTTTAGTTTGAAAAATAAATTGTTGCTGGGACATGAAATAAAGATAGGGATTATAGGCTTTAGTATGTTTCTACTAGCTTTAAAAAACAAGATAGTGCTTTTAATAAGCCGTTTTTTGTAGTACAATAAAGTGATTGAAGCTTAGAGATTTTAAGAATTAGGTACTATAGTCATCACTGCAGCTTATGTTGTAGGCTGTATTCATTTGAACAAATAAAAGCTCTCTCTGACTTTATATAAAATGTGATTGCTTCTAGACAGGTTAAATTGTTATATTATTTGGAGTTCATTCATATGCATGTGTGCCAAGATGAATGAAGAAGTCTTGTTGGTAGGGAGAGAGAGAAACATACCCTCTACATATGAGGAAGTCATTTCAATATGCTGTGATTGTATTGCATGGTAGTATACAAGCTGTAATGGTAAGACAGAGGCAGGAATAATGTGGGTGTGTTATAAGGAAAAAGTATCTTTGAGATTTGTTTATAAAAAATGAAAATTTATACACAAGTATAACTTTTTCCCTGAGAGTATATTTTTTATATATTTAAGTTACATAATTCAATGTAGCTACAATATTTGGCTATACAATTAACTTGGAAATTTCATTTTTCTAGATAGCAGCCCTGAAACTCTTGAAGCCCATAAGATTAAGATGGCATTCTTCACATATCCTACTTTGACAGAGATATGTAGAAGATTAGTCTCTCATTATTTTCTGTTAACTGAAGAAGAACTGACAATGTGGGAAGAAGACCCAGAAGGCTTTAGTAAGAATTAATTTTTTAGCATTAGCATGGCTTTTCTCCCCCTTCTATAAATACGTGTTTGAGTGATAGGTATAATAGTATATTTTCATACAGCACTTTTGATCTGGGAATCTTAGTTTTTTTAAATTAACTTATTCTTTCTTTGTTATCCATTATGACAAATTGAGACGCAGAAAATGAATCACTTATACAAATAGGATGTAGAATTTTGTCCAAAAAAAAGACCTTTTTAGTTTTTAGATTCTTTTACAAATAGGTAGTTTCAAACAAAAATACAAAATTAACTCTCTATTATCAGGTCAGTTTCTACTTTGTGCTTCATTGCATATTTTTTTCTTTTATTTGTAAAAATTCTTAACAAAGAAATTTGGAGAGTTTTTGATGAATAGATTTTTTTTTTGGACAGGACATCTTTATAGCTGTTTGAATTTTAGTACTAGGTAAATGAGTAGACTAAGTCTATTGCAACCCTTGCTATAGAAAATCAAGGAATCATGTTGTAATATAGTACTTGTATGTGATTTAAGCTGTAGTGGGACATACCTAGATTTTAGCTTCCCTTTTCCCTTTGACTGGATGCCCTTGTGTAGTTACACGTTTCCTAATATTTTAAGAGTGCCTGAAAGTTTTTGTAATAACTTATCTTCATTATCCTTTTGGTTTTTAAAAATAATTTTAGTTTTAATATAGTATTGTATTATACAACACACGTCTTTTCTTTTTTTTTCCCTGAAACACGTTGTTTCAATTTGCTTTCTTTATGTAATATATAGAATATTGCCATATGAAGCATTGAGTCCCTAAATTTTTAAAAGCCCTGAAGTATATGACTTTATATGAAATATAAATACCAGAAATTTATGGATAGTGTGACTAATCATTGTAACTAGTGAAACGTGATTACTGTATTGAAATGAAATGATTCTCAGAATTATAGTGATATTGGATCAGGTGATAGCAGATACCCTGGAAATGACAAGTACTTTGAGCTTTTTTCCATAAAGAATTTTTATTGAAAATGAGAATGCTTATGGATAGAGTAAGCACTTACTAGATGACTGTTGAGATACACAGCTGTGATCTATAGTATACGGTAACAAAATCTTTGTAAGGCCTGTGTTCCCTAGGATTTGCTCTTAATATTATGTTTAAAACAGTCCACAGAAATATTATACTGATGTTATTCACATCTTTGATTTCTGAACCAAGGTGTTGAAAATGTTTACATATTTTTAATTGCAGCAGTGGAAGAAACAGGAGGAGATTCTTGGAAATATAGTTTGAGGGTAAGTATTAATTGAAGGAAAAATTGATAGGGGAAAGCTTAATCCTTCTAAAGCTCTTAGTAGAGAATGGTACTCTATTAAAGATTCCAAACGTTTGCTGGGAGTGGTGGTTCACATCTTAATCCTGGTGAAGCCAAGGCAGGAGGATAGATTGAGGCCAGAAGTTCAAGACTAGCCTGGTCAACGTAGTGAGATCCTGTCTCTACAAAAAGTAAAAAAAAAAAAAAAAAAAAGACCAGAGTGGTGGCGCATACCTATAGTTCCAGCTATTCAAGAGTCTGAGGCAGGAGGATCGTTTCAGCCCAAGAGGTTGAGGCTGCACTGTGTCATGATCATACCAACCCTGTCTCTTAAAAAAGACATTAAAGATTCCAAACATTAAGTCAGACAGATAAGAAACTGTTTATAAGAAACTTTGTAAGAACTATATTCATATTACATTATGAAGTTTAATCTGAGTTTTTTTGGTTAACTTGGGGTTTCAAAATGAATTTTTTCTTTATCTTTTAGTACATTGCATGGGAATAATTGTCATTTTACCAATAGAAAATGTCAAAGTAAAAGCTGCCACTCTTAAACTAGAGCTCTTTTCTTCTACATATTTCATTAGTAAAGCTTCTTTTGGCTTGTTATTTCTCTTACCACTTAGTGTGACTCTGAGAGACTAGCCCATTGCTTTCAGTTATAGGATTCTTTTACAACACATTTATTAATATGACAGATGTTTTGCCATTGCCAGATGTGGTGTTTGACCTGTTCTTTTTGTTAAGACTTGAGCTTAAATAATTTACATAATTTGCTATTTGTTTTCTAAAAATGTTACCTTAATGTTTTTAGACTCATAGAGCTGTCAACCAGAGATTACTGGTGATTTTAAAACTTTTAAAAATTTCATTTTTTTAATGTTTAAAAGTTTCTCTTATGGAGAAGCTTAAACATATTAAAAAATAGAATAACATGAGCCCTTCATGATAACATAGTTTATTAGTTATCAACTCACGTCTGCTTTAGCTTCCTGTAAACAACCCCTAATGTTGATGGTTTTGAAGTAGATATCTGAGATGACATAGCCTCTGACCGTATTTCAGTGTGTATATCTATAATGTTCCTTTTAAAACACCACACAATACCTTAAAAATTTAATTAAAAAATTAAATATTGTGAACCATCTAGTGATTCAATTTTGATTTCTTTAAATTTTAAAAAATTATTTAAAAAAATTTTTGTGGTTACATAGTAGGTGTACATATTTATGGTGTACTTGAGATGTTTTGATACCAGCATGCAGTGTGAAATGATTCAGTAATTTTAAGAACCAAATGAATCATTTTTTTTTAATGTAGTTGACACTGATTTCTGTTACTGCTTGTGTTTGTTAAGAGAAATGCTACTTTATTTGGCAAATTGGAGTTCCTGTTTTTGCTTATTTTATCATTGCTAAGAAAATACATAATTTTTGGCTGAGCGCAGTGGCTCACGCCTGTAATCCCAGTACTTTGTGAGGCTGAGGCAGGTGGATCACAGGGTCAGGAGATCCAGACCATCCTGGCCAAGATGGTGAAACCCTGTCTCTACTAAAAATACAAAAATTATCTGGGCATGGTGGCACACACCTGCAGTCCCAGCTACTTGGGAGGCTGAGGCAGGAGAATCACTTGAACCTCAGAGGCGGAGGTTGTAGTGAGCCGAGATTGTGCCACTGCACTCTAGCCTGGCGACAGAGCGAGACTTTATCTAAAAAAAAAAAACAAAACCAAAAAACTTAATTTTTAACATGTTAAATCTTGGATAGTCAGCTATTTATAGTGCTGAACTATAAGCGAGTGGCTACAGAATGCCTTTTAAATTTAAGGTATGATTAAAATGTACACTTCGCTCTCCATAGTTTTAAGTTTTTGAATGTATAATGAGAAATAATTGAAATAAGGAAATAAACTTCTATGATTTGATTTGATTTTCCATTGTGTTGGTTACAAAAATGTTAATCTTACCTTTTTTTTTTTTTTTTACCAAATCAAAAGTTAGAAACATTTTCACAGTTTTAGAACTTTAAAATTATTTGCTTTATTATAGAATTAGTCAATATAGTGTACAGCTGTTTGAATGAGAAATTTGTCTTTTTCCCTCTCCAGCCATGCACTGAAGTATTATTTATAGATATATTCCATGAATATAATCAGACTCTTACTCCTGTACTTCTAGAAATGATGCAAACCCTTCAAGGTAAGGCGTATTTTGCATTTACCTTTTGAGTTGATCTATTTAATGTTTAGTTAAGAAATAGTCTGAGTGCCTACAATGTATAATTTGCTATTTCTTGGGTCATATAATGAATATGAATTTGAGAAAAACAGAATGTGTTATTTTCCAAAGGGGTGGTATTTGAGATAGGCCATGAATTATAGTTTGGAAAATGATAGTTAAATTTTCCTGTAATAAATTCAATAGCAGCATAAGCAAAACAGCAATCATACTGCTTGCAGAAAGTCTATCTGCAGCATGTTGTGAGAAATAGTGAGAAAAGGTTTAAATAGTAAGTGTTAGCCTCTCTTAGAATGGTATCAATGGGAATGGAAAGAATTGATTATGGATTTGAGAGAGAATGATGATATAAATTTTTGACACTTGATCATTGCACTTTGTATACAAGTAATTATCTGCCTGCTAACTAACATTGACTTATGATTTCTGTCTTTTCTGCTGGACTGTAAGTCCTAGGGGCATTGGTCATGTTTCTTGTTTACTTTATTCCCAGTACTGGGCATATTCAGTAACTGTTATTACTTGATTGACTTTTGGCAACTGACTGAATGTGCTAGGCAAGGAAAAGCAATCAAAGATGATCCTAACCTTTTGAGCCTTAATAACAAGGAAACAATTACTTCATTAGAAATGGTAGGAGATAGAGATATAGTTTTGGAGTATGTACATATAAGGAGCCTTGGGCGAAAAAAAGAGGATCTCAGGGACAGAACCTGAGATTTTTACCAATAGGGATATGAGGAAATAAAAGCCTTGTAAAAATACCAGGTGTGGTGGTGTATCCTAGAGAAGAGCATGTTGTCAGGAGTGAGTGTTAGCCAGGCATGGTGGCTCCCCAGGAGTCCCAGACCAGCCTGGGCAACGTGGCAAAAATCTCTGTCTACAAAAATTAGGAAAATTAGCTGGGCCCGGTGGTGACTACCTGTAGACCCAGCTATTCAGGAGGCTGAGGTGGGAGGGATCATTTGAGCCCAGGAGGTTGAGGCCGCAGTGAGCTGAGATCACTCCACTATACTCCAGACTGAGTGACAAAGCAAGACCTTGTCTCAAAAAAAAGTTAAAAAAAAAAAAAAAAAAATTTGTGTGGTATATAGCACATTAGCATTTTATGGTGCATATTTTCTAGAATATTGCTTGTCATAACATTTTTCAAATATGCTATAATGGTTTTTAATCTTGTGTTCTCTAATGATAATCATAAAACTTAGACTTTCCCTTTATACCTGTGTCCATGTTTGATACCATGAAATGTGTTGTACTTAATTGAATTGGGAAATAACACATTGTGTTTAAATATAAAATTTTTAAAAGACTTTTTATTTGCTTTTATTGATACCTATTTTTTTAGGACCCACAAATGTGGAAGATATGAATGCACTGTTAATCAAAGATGCTGGTATGTTAAGTGATTTAGAAACATTTATTTAATAGATGGAGAATCTGTTTTGTGGTAGATTTTATGCTGAGGGCGTTGAGATATAAGAGTAGCTAAAATACAGAAACAGTCTGGTTGGGGAGATGACCAAGTAAATAGATAATGCTTTGCAATAATGCTGTACAGGATGGTTAATGCTAAAGTAGGTGGTGATCATCAGGTAGTGTGCTGTGTCTAAGGAAAGATTTCTAAAGAAATGTAATGGGAGAACACAAGGATAAGTAGGAGTTGTATGTGCGAGGAGGTGGTGGTGGAAACAGGGTGGTGCATTCCACGGAGATGTACCCACAGTGGGTACAAAGACTTGAAGGAAAGAAGAGGAAGCAGAGTTAGAATTTGAATTGTGACTGTTTTGGTTTAACTGGAACATTAGGTTAAGGGTTGGGTTGAGGCTGGAGAGAGTTAAGTAGGGTCTAGATCATAAAATATTACATCCATTTAGAAGCATTCATTATTTTATACTTTTTATAGTTAGACTTAAATATTTTAGAATGAATTGTATTTTCTATTTGAAAGTAGTAAGGAATATTTAGGAAAAACATGAAGTAAGATAATTAGTGTTTCTAAAATGTCTACTTAAACAATTTCCCTTATTAATATATTGTATGTTTCCGTTAACATATGTTTCATCCACTCATTTGCAGATCTAATATCTGAAACTTATAAATTTTTTTCTGACATTTTCTTCTCAGTATATAATGCTGTCGGATTAGCTGCTTATGAGCTGTTTGACAGTGTTGATTTTGATCAGTGGTTTAAAAACCAGCTTCTTCCAGAATTACAAGTCATTCACAATAGGCAAGTATAAAATTTTGTATTTATTCTACACTTATTTTACCTTATTTGTTAATGAAGACAGTAAGGCATTAAAATGACTTACAATTTAAAAAATACAGTTTTATGAGTTAGGTAATGTCTTGTGTGGAAAAGAATAAGAATTTTGACATCTAGGAAGTATTTGACAGGAGAAAAGGAGGACTTTATGCAAAGATGAGGGAGGATGGAGGTCTCTGAGTTCAAGAAGGAAACTATGCCTGAGAAAAAGACAATTGGAGACTTAGCAGGGGGTATATCTAGTGTCAGAAGTAGCCTAATCAAAGTAATATCTGAAAAGTGACTATCTTGGGATTACATAATGCATACTGCAAGTCTTTGGGAGAGGCAGCTGAGTAGGATGTAGAGGCACCATGGCAAAAATATTTGAATACACTGTAAGTTCTAATGGAGGTACCTAATTATATAGTACAGATTCATATTACATTTAATATGAATTACGAAATGAATGAATTTAGTACATTCACTAGCACATTTGCCCAATTCTTTTTTTTTTTTTTTTAAACAGAGTCTCAGTCTGGAGTGCAGTGGTGCCATCTCAGCTTACTGCAACCTGTACCTCCTGGGGTTCAAGCGATTCTTGTGCCTCAGCCTCCTGAGTAGCTGGGATTATAGGCACATGCCACCATGCCCAGCCAGCCCAATTCCTTTGTTTTATATACATTTAAGCACCCGCCTATTTATTTAAATTTTAGGTATTGAATACATAAGATGGAAAAAGCTCTTTCATAGTTTTTAAAATTATTTCCTTAGTTTAAAATTGGAGAATCTAAAAAAGTTCTTAGAGGCTTTTTTCTTAGTTTGAAGGGTACACGTCTGCTGATTCACTTCATTCTACCTGAGGCCTATCAGAATGCTTAGCATATAGTCATAGATAGTTGATATTTGTTGACTAAACTAATGAATGAATAGAAGGTCACATTTAGAGCCACAGAATTTGTAGAGCTGGGAATGTTCTAAAAGTAACTCTTAGCACTAAGTAGCTGTTTGTCTCTTCAGTTATTCAATCATTTATTTAGTTAACATATATTTTTAACTTTTGGAATTTGCCATGTCCTATATAGCAGTGGTGAATAAAACAGACTCTGACTTAGGAAGCAAGTGAGCCTTTGTTGGAGAAAAAGCGTTCATTGGGGAGACAAATGTGCAGTTTAGCTGTCCTTAAACCCTAGAGGCTGTTTAGTGTAAGACCTTCATTGTCTAGTACAGAAGCTCCCTAGGGGGTGGCTATTGAGCATTTGAAATGTGCCTAGTGCAACTGAGGAAACGACTTTGCAAATTTAATTAATTTAAATTTAAAAATTAAAGCCCTGTAAAATATTTATTGATTACATGTTGAAATGATAATATTTTGGATATATTGGGATGTATAAAAATATTAAGATTTTACTCATTTATTTTATAATGTGGGTACTAAAAAATTAAAATAACATATGTGGCCTGCATTATATTTCTAATGGACAAAGCTGATATAGACCAGTGTTTCTCAAACTTTGATATACATATGAGCCACCTGGTAATCTTGTTAAAGATTAGGTTTTGACGTAGGTCTGGGACAGATCAGGCAGTATATACATTGAATAGCAAAGTGATCTATGATTTTACCTGTTTGGACGTGTCTGTGCTTCATTCTCTTTATCTGGAACAGAGTCTAATATGGCCTTAGTCCCAAAATTGATGGTTCTTTGGTGCTTTTACTTTACTTTACACAAGTTGTTACTTGTGCCTGTGTACTTGGTTCAAACAGTTCCTATCCCTTGAAATGACATTTTTTTTTACTTTTCGGCTCTAATACTGTTTATCTCAAAGACCTGCTCAGATTCCATCTGTCTCTGCTCATCTCTTCTCTTCCTTTTCCAAAGTACTTGTGTTTTTTAATTCTTTTATGTATGTTATAAACTTCTTGAGGGCAGGGAATACTGACATGCTTTTTTTGTAACTTTATTTAGTTATTTTATTTCATTTCATTTTTGACACGCGGTCTCACTTTGTCACCCAGGCTGGAGTACAGTGGCATGATGTTGGCTCACTGCAGCCTCTGCTTCCTGGGCTCAAGTGATCCTCCCACCTCTGCCTCCTGAGTAGCTGGGACCGCAGGTGTGTGCCACCATGCCCGGCCATTTTTTTGTATTTTTGGTAGAGACAGGGTTTCACCATTTTGGACGGGCTAGTCTCAAACTCCTGAGCCCAAGTGATCTACCCGCCTCAGCCTCCCAAATGCTGGGATTACAATTTTTGTAACTTCAATGAGCAATTTTTTTTCCTATGTGCTTGATCATCTTTTAAAACTGTAGTTTTTTGAAAAAAAAAAAATAAGTGTTTCATTAGCTTGTTCATTTATACCCAGAAGTAATTTATCATCTTGCCACGAAAATTTACATAATATCAAGAAGATACTTCATGAGTGAAATTCTTGGACACAAATGCTTTTTGAACTTCATGATTTTTCTCCTTTCCTGAACTTTCGTTTCCTTTAGCAAAGATAATCAGAGAAAGAAATGTATATACATGTTATTGTAAGTGTTTTGCAAATGTTAATATGTTATTTTGGTAATGTGGGTCACATTCTGTTACTGTGTACCTTTTAGAAAATTTAGTTAAAATAAAAAAATTTATATGAATGTTTTATATAAGCCTAGAAGTTTCTTACATTGTTCGGAAAATAACCTTCATAATATTAACAAATTAAGAATAGAAAATTAAATATAGGAGATTCTTTTACTTTTTGGGATTTTTCCAATTTTAGAGCTTGGGGAATTACCACTGTTTTTAGTTACTTGAGCTAAAAACAAATGGATTTGGTTTTTATGAATGTATCTACATTGTGATTCTTTAAGATAAAAAAAATCGGTATTTTTACAACATATATGCCTTGGAATTTTTAAGTACTAAAAATTTTAATATTAAAAATTTATTTAGATCAGGACATTGTTAATATTTTGTACCGTGGTACATTTAGAAGTAGCCTTTAACCTTTTTTTTTTTTTTTTTTTGACAGCGTCTTGCTCTGTCACCTAGCCTGGAGTGCAGTGGCACAATCTTTGCTTATTGCAACCTGTCTTCTGAGTTTCAAGGGATTCTTGTGCCTCAGCCCCCTGAGAAGCTGGGACTACAGGCACATGCCACCATGCCCAGCTAATTTTTATATTTTTAGTACAGATGAGGTTTCACCATGTTGCCCAGGCTGGTCTTGAACTCCTGGCCTCAAGTGATTTGCCCTCCTTGGCTTCTCTCAAAGTGCTGGGATTACAAGCCTGAGCAAGCACGCCCGCTTTTAAGCATGTATATTAAAAATGCAGATTGCATTCTTACTACATTTTAGATTTAACTGATAAATCATACTAAATAAAATAGACCTCTTAAAATATTTAACATTTTAATTTCATGTTTTTTTCTATTTAGGTATAAGCCATTGCGACGCAGGGTGATTTGGCTCATCGGTCAGTGGATTTCTGTGAAATTCAAGTCTGACTTAAGACCCATGCTTTATGAAGCAATCTGTAACTTGCTTCAAGATCAAGATTTAGTGGTATGTTTTTTAAATGCCTTAGAAGAGTTAGTTTTTAAAGTTTCACCAGTGCTAATAATTAAGTTCACAACAGTTTATGCCTTTCTTTAGAATGCGTATGGCCTTTCACTGTACTAGTTATTTCTTGTTAAGCAGTTTGATTTGAGGGTGGAAAATCTTTTGATTATCATTTGCCCTTCCCATTACTAGTCACTGAAAAAAAATTTAAGCTCTACTATTCTAAAGTAATATTTAATTTCTTAGTAAGAAAAAAAAAGGCGGTTAAAAAAAATCCCTTTATAGCTTACATATTATTTGTAAAATTCAGGATAGGCTTTGGCGTTGAGATAGCATCATAATTTATTTCATCTTTACTGTTGGTTCTTTGTCCCTCATTTGTGGGAAATTTTTTAAGCCTTTGGAATTATTGGATTCTTTTAAGGAATTTTTCTTTCTTATGGTATTCACATAATATTCTTGATTTTGTGTTACTGAAAACTTGATAGTAAGCTATTTGTTGCTTTTTCCCCCTTCAGAGCAGTAGGCTTGCTGCTTTATTATAAAATTACTGGAACAGTAGTAGCAATTTTATAGGCCTGTGATTTTAAGAAGTTTAAATTGTAAAGAACAATTTTCTTTCTTTTTTCCTGCTGGTGCTTTACTATATGCCTGAGTGAATATGTTAGTGACTTAATATATATGTGTTTGTTGTCTTTTCCTGATTTTCAGTCTGTTTTAGATAAAATTAAGTGATTTTTTAAATTCTCCCGAGTTGTGCTAAGATCTTTTTAAATCATTTCTCAGTCTTCCTCCCCTTACCCCTCCACCAATCTTACTTTTTGTTTGAACCTGCCTGGTTTTTGCCTTTTAGCAAAGGCTTGAACTGTACTTCTCTTTTTTACATATGCTGTCATAAAGAAAACTACATGTAGTGTTCACTAAAGAAAAACATAATTAGGCAAATTTGTTACAGAAACACAATACATTCCAAAAGCAAATAGAACTGATCTTTGGGTTTTCTACCTAAGTATTATCTGCTTTGTGTAAATAATTTGGGAATTTAAGTACTATTCTGTAATTATTAAATAGTATAAGCATGGGAAGTTACAAGAGAGACTTGTATTTTATTGGTTTTATATTCTTAGAAATATATTAATGTAACAAGCTATTTCTAAAATTTCTATTTGCTGAAATTAATTTTCTTTTGTAATAGCTTTATAATAAAACAATAAGATTTAAATTTTTCTTTCCTAGTTGGAAATATTATTTGCTCTTCTGCAACAGAGAAGATATTAAATGATGTATGAATGTTTTACAAAAAGGTTAAATTTCGGTTAAATTTTCTTTGGGAAATAGAGAAATTGCTTGGGTTTTTCTTTATTCTTTTCTCATTTTTTTTGGTGGGAAGACTTGAGTCTCTCTCTCTGTTGCCCAGGTTGCAGTGCAGCGGTACCATCACGGCTCATTGTAGCCTCTATGTCCTGGGCTCAGCTGATCCTCCCACCTCAGCCTCCCAGGTATCTGGGACTACAGGCATGCGCCACCACGCCTGGCTAATTTTTCTTTTCTTTCTTTTTTCTTTTTTGTTGGGTGACAGAGTCTTGCTCTGTCGCCCAGGTTGGAGTGCAGTGGTGCAATCTTGGTTCACTGCAACCTCTGCCTCCTGGGTTCAAGCAATTCTCCTGCCTCAGCCTCCTGAGTAACTGGGACTACAGATGCATGCCACCATGCCCAGCTAATTTTTTGTATTTTAGTAGAGACCAGGTTTTACTGTGTTGCTCAGGCTGGTCTTGAACTGCTTTGCTTTAATATTGAACCTTTGAGAAATGCTAGCTAATGTAATGTGGAGAGATACTTTATACATGCATACATATATACAATAGTGTACAACCACATAGAGACATGTATGTATATGCAAACATGTATTTTTATATATATGAACATATACACAAACACACATTGTGTAGGTATGTGTATACATGTGTGTCACATGATTAAGTCAAATTGTTACTCTTAGGAAAAATTAACAATATTACAAACAAACCAAAAAGTATGTATTCTATTTCTGTAGATCAGACAATAATTTTGTATTGTCACACAGCTGTCAGAGGTAGAGACGTTCTCTACCCAGTGGCCTCCAATGTTATAAAATTTCTGAAGCCCTATTAACTGGAGAAGTTCCTTCCCCCAGTTGCTGCCCTGCTTTTGCTGTGTCACAAGCATCTAGATCCTGAGGAATTCAATTCCTTTCTGGCTTTCAGAATCTGTATTCTCTTTCCTGAGTGCTGCTGTTAAGGAGTTGGGGTACGTTTGGTACTGATCCACTATAGTTGTCTGTGGCTATTCTTTTGTTGTTAGAAGGATACTGGCTATGACAGAGTAGAAGTAGCTGTTATTTTTTTTTCTTTTTTTGGCTGCTTCATAGAGAGAGCAGGGCTACCACATAGGCAAGGTTTTTGTCAATAAAAAATTCAGCAACTAACATAATAAGCACTTGTGTGCCTATCACTAAGTTACCCATATTTTCATTTGCAGTATTTTTCCACATATATTTCAAATCTTTTATTTAAGAAATAAAATATTACAAATGCAATCAATTCCTCTGTCTCTTTCTGGTGTCATTCTATTGTCTTCATTAAGAAGAGGTTTTAAATTTTAATAGCTTTGTTGATTACTTTCTTTTTTTTTTTTTTTTTTTTTGAGACAAGGTCTTGCTCTGTTGTCCAGGCTAGATTGCGGTGGTGAGGTCACAGCTCACTGCAGCCTCGACACCCTAGGGCTCAAGCAATCATTCCACCTCAGCATCTCAAGTAGCTGGGACCACGGGTGTGTACCACCACACCTGACTAATTTTTTAATTTTTTGTAGAGAGGAGGTCTCCTGTGTTGCCTAGGTTGCTCAGGAAGTCTGGGCTCAAGCTGTCTTCCCACCTTGGCCTCCCAAAGTGTTGGGATTACAGACATTAGCCACTGAGCCTGTAAGAAATCCTTCTCTTCACTCTTGGTTCTTTATTCTCTCTTGAATTTAATTTTGAGTGATGTGAAATAAGATTCCATCTTTCTTTTTTAAAAAATAAGTATAGCAACACTATGATTCACTGAATATTGTATAGTTTTTTTTAGTGGTCCATAGGTCTATCTCTGTCATATCCCATGTTTGCATGTCAATCTGTTTCAAACAGCTTTATAGAAAGCCGTCATACCTGGTAGGAAATATGTTCTTGTAACTTTCAGTACCCACAGATTTTTCATAGTTGATGGAAGATGAAATACTGTTTTCATTAGCCATGTTCTTTATGTATAATCCAGTGTTTGTTCTTACTGTTAATTGACCACCTCTTTACACTTATTGTTAACAGACTACTCCTTTGAAGCCCACCAGTAGTTCCTTGTGCCATAATTTGAGAACTACTGACCTGGATTCTATATAACAGAACACAATACCTTCTAAAAGCATCTTTTACACTCTCCTTTCCTTTCCCCTTTGTAACATGTTAGTTAGTAGATACCGTGCTTATGACAAGTTTTAGGTTTTAGGACGTTATTTGAATTACTAAATTTTAGGTCAGAGGAACCTTCTTTTCCCAGGACTGCAGACGATTCTTTAAGCAGAATACTTTGTTTATAAACTGGGCTTTAGGTTGTAGGGTTTCTGAACCAATTATATCTTTATTTCAGAAATTCAAAATAAGTTTTTAGAAGGTTTTGGCTGGGCACAGTGGCTCAAGCCTGTAATCCCAGCACTTTGGGAGGTCAAAGTGGGTGGATCACCTGAGCCTGGCCAACATGGGGAAACCCCATCTCTGCTAGAGATACAAAAATTAGGTGGGCATGGTGGTGGGCACCTGTAGTCCCAGCTACTTGGGAGGCTGGGGCAGCAGAATTCCTCAAACCTGGCAGGTGGAGGTTGCAGTGAGCCAAGATCACACTGTCGCACTCCATCCTGGGAAACAGAGCAAGACTCCATCTCAAAAGAAAACAAAAAGAAATTTTTAGAAAATTTTACTTAGATTATTCAAACCTCAGGAAAACAAGCAGTAAATTACTAGAAAATTAGCATTAGTATAATCTTTCACTTTTGTGAAAGCCTGTGTAAGATATAAACTGTGGTATAATCAGCAAACCTGTAGTTTGAGGGTGTGATGTGGTTGGTTGTGAAGCAAAGAAATGGCTGTCTTCATGGGCACGTTGACCACTAGCATAGACATATGGTCATGTGCTATTTCACGACAAGGTTATATTCTGGGAAATGAGTTGTTAGGCGATTTCCTCATTGTGCGGACATCATTTAATGTGCTTTCATGCAATCCAAGATAGTATAGGCTATCTAGGCTGTGGTTAAAACCAGTATAGCATGTTACTGTACTAAATACATTATGCAGTTGTAACACAATGGTAAGTATTTGTGTGTCTAAACATAGAAAAGGTACAGTAAGAACATAGTATAAAAGATAAAAATGTTACACCTCTAAAGGGCGCATAACTTGAATAGAGCTTGCAGGCTTGGCAGTTGCTCTGGGTGAGGCAGTGAATGAAAGATGAGTGAATGTGAAAGCCTAGAACATGAATGTATACCACTGTAGACTTCATAAACATTGTACACTTAGGCTACACTAAATATATTGGAAAATATTCTTTCTTAACAATAAACCACAGCTAACTGTAACTATTTTACTTTAAATTTTTTTAAATTTATTTTATTTTATTTTTTAAATTATTTATTTTTTATTGCAGTTTAGGTTTTGGGGTACATGTGAAGAACATGTAAGATTGTTGCATAGGTACACACATGGCAGTGTGGTTTGCTGCCTTCCTCGCCATCACCTATATCTGGCATTTCTCCCCATGTTATCCCTCCCCAACTCCCTGCCCTCCACTGTCCCTCCCCTTTTCTCCCCCCCACAGACCCCAATGTGTGATATTCCCCTCCCTGTGTCCGTGTGTTTTCATTGTTCAACACCTACCTATGAGTGAGAACATGTGGTGTTTTATTTTCTGTTCTTGTGTCAGTTTGCTGAGAAT